AGAGAGAGAGCAACTGTATGCTGAAGACTAGGGGGGAGTATAGGGGGCAGGTTTAAAGGGTATAACTTTGGTTGGTTGATGATGCATAGAGGGGATTGTACCCATGGCAATGAAACGATACATGATAGAATGAATGTAAAACTAATGTTCTCCCATGTAAACTATCATATAATTCACAATAAAACATTTTTAATTAATTGTTAAGTGCTTCATTGTTTCTGACTCAGAGCAACACTCTATAGGATTTCTGAGCAGCAGCTGGTGAACTTGAACCACCAACCTTGCAATTCAAACCAACCTTGCAGTCCAGTGCATTAACTCAAAGTGCTACACCAGGACTCCAGAAAAACAAACAAATCTGTGTTGGAAGAAATACAGTCAGAATGTCTCTTGGAAGCCAGGATGCCTAGACTTCTTGTCCCATACCTTTGACATATTATCAGGAGGGACCAGTTCCTGGAGAAGGATATCATGGTTGGTAGAGTGAAGAGTCAGAGAGAAAAAGAGTAAGACCCCCAATGAGATGGAATGGCACAGGGGTAGCAGCAATGGGCTCAAGCATATCAGTAATTATGAGATTGGCAGAGCAGCTGGCAGGCTAGTTCTCATATTCTTTGTTGTAGAAGTTCTATGCAGTGTGTCTGCCCAGTCCACCATATAGCTGGAAGTCTATCGAGTCTTAATTCTCACCAAGTGATTGGGTGGGATCATGCAAATGAGGTATACAGGACTCTAAGACTTAGATTGCTTAGTTTTGCCCTTCAGCTAGGTTTAAAAGCATTCATCACTGAAGCAGAGACGGAAGATCCCAGGACCATCAGTAAGTAAGAGCATGAGTGTACCATGAGATCTCCACTTAAGAGAAACAGCGGTGGCAGAGGTGATAGAGTTGACAGCATGGAGAGACAGAGTAGCTTTGAGCTCTAGGCCTAGGGACTGAGTAAAGATGAATACGTACGGTCAGGAGACTGGTTTGTAGAATGTGCCTCACTGGAGAATTATGGTATCCTGAGTTGGTTTTGATCCTGAATTGTACCCTGTTCACTCCCTTAATAAATTTTATAATCGTGATATTAAAATATGATATTGTTAAGAATTCAGTGTAGCCACTGCAATGGGTTATCCAACTCTGATGTGAAGCAGAGTGCTGTGGGAGGGATGGTTGGTATCAGAATAGGGTAAAGAATGTTGTAGGATAGAAGCATGTCACCCTCTGTTCCATAAGAATTGAGTCTTGAGCTGATTTTGAGTTTGATTCTCTTTCCCTCTTGTGAAGCCAGGGGAAGTCAGACATGGTCTTCACATGGATTTTGAAAGCTCCTTAGTCATCAAACTGACATCTTTGCTTTTTTAAATTCTAAAGTCTTTTTTTTTTAAAAAGAATTTTAATTCTAAAGAGGACTTTTGCAGCCTATCTGAGCAATGAACTATGTTGTTGCTGAAATACTTGTGGAAAAATCAGAACATGGGAATTTGAAAATGTTTATCTGATATAAGTAATCATTAAACAGAAAGAAGTTTTTATTTAAAAATTCATAAATGTTCCAAATGTACAAATATATATATACACACACACATATATATATACATGTGTTTGAACTTTGCTTCGTCTTTCATCTTTTTATCTGTGTGAAAAGAAGAACACATTCCTCATTCAGGAGATTTATGATGTTGTAATAATTACCTGAAAACAAAATGACAAGAAAATAAAATTATTTTCATAGGGATCATTCTCCTTTTGATAAGACATTAGACTAGCACTGTGGCAGTTACAGTGTATAACACAAAATAAAAACAATTCACCTAATTAAAAATTACTCTTATTTAACTCTATGAACTAAAAGTTCCAACAGTTCTACCACCTATGATTCAGAAAGAATGCAAGTTTCACATTATTCTGATAAAGAATGCAGAAATGTATCCAACAATGGTGCAGGTAAAAAATGTCTTTCTGGACCTAATTTTACTAGGTTTTTGGAACTGTGTGAAGCCCTCCAAATACCTTCATATATGTTTTGTTGTGAGTTGACCATGAATCTATTTCACCACATGGCAAACTCATGTGTCCAGAGTCCAACTGCTCCATTGGGTTTTCAAGGCTATGATCTATCAGAAGCAGAGCATCAGGCCTATCTTCAAGGTAACTCTGGATGGGGTTCAACCACCAACCTTCTGACAAACAGAATACGTATTTGTACCACCCAGGCACTCAGTTTTCACATATGATGTTGTTGCTAGATGCCTTTGAGCTGGTTCTCATTCATATGGACCCTATACACAACAGAATGAAACACTGCTTGGTCCTGCACTATCCTCACTACTGGTTTATATTTGTGTCTGTTGTTGGGCATGTCTTCCATTTTTTTGGATAACCCTTCATTTTACCAAGCATGATGCCCTTCTTCAGGGGCTGGTTCCTCTGGATAACATGCCCAGAATATTAGACTCATCATCCTTGCTTCCTAAGGGGCAGTCTGCTTCACTTCTAAAACAAATTAGTTTGTGCTTCTAACAGTCCATGGTACTTTCAATATTCAATATTCTTTATCAGCTCCATAATTCAAATACATAGATTTCTCTACAGTCTTCCTTATTCATTGTCCAACTTCATTGCAAATGAAGAAATAGAAAATACCACCTTAGTCTTCAAAGTGACAACTTTGCTCTTCTGCAACAGATTTGCCTAATATAATACATTGTTTAATTACTTAACTGCTGCTTCCATAAGCACTGAGAATCCAAGCAAAAGAAAGTTTTAGACAACTTCAATCTTTTCTCTGTTGGTCATGACGTTATTTATTAATTTGTGAGGGTTTTTGTTTTCTTTAAGTTGATATGAAATTGTTTTCATTAGGTTGATATGAAATTCATACTGTAGGCTCTAGTCTTGGATCTTCATCAGTTAGTATTTCAAAGCCTCTTCCCTCCAAGAAAACAAAGTTGTGTTATTTGCATATAACAGGTTGTTAATGAATCTTCCTTCAATCTTGATGTTTTTCTAGTCTGTTTTCCTTCTCTAAAGGCTGCCTTTTGGTCTATTTACAGGATCTTCATGAGCACAATTAAGTGTTATGAAATTCCAACTGTTCGCAATGTTGTCTGTAGTTTGTTCTGATCCACAGAGTTCAAAGTCTTTGCATAGCCCATAACGATCTTTCTGGTATTCTCTCCTTTCAGCTAAGATCTATCTGATGTCAACAATGACATTCCTTGTTTCATGTCCTCTTATGAACCCATATTGAATTCCTAGCAGCTTCCTGTGAATGTGCTGCTGCAAAGGTTTTTAAATTATCTTCAGCAAAATTTTACTTGTGAGAGACTGGGGTGCTCATGCATTGCAGGTGGGATTGCAAGATGGTCCAACCACTCTGGAAAACAACATGGTGTTTCCTCAGAAGGCTGGATATAGAAATACCTTATGATCCAGCAATTCCTCTACTTGGTATTTACCCACAAGAAATATGAGCCATAACATGAGTAGATATATGCACACCAATGTTCATAGCAGCACTATTTACAATAGCAAAAAATGGGGACAGCCTAAATGCCCATCAATTGAAGAATGGATAAACAAACTGTGGTACATACATACAATGAAATATTATGCTACCTTGAAGAACAACAAGGAAGCTGTAAGCTATCACATAACATGGATGAACCTTGAGGACATTATGTTGAGTGAAGGACCACTACTGTAAAAGACTAAGAAAAGGAACTCATACTAAAAGGGGGGAAAGGAGGATTCTTCGCTGGTTACCAGGATGTGGGAGGTGGGGTGAAGGAAGGGAGAAAAAGGTGGAGCATAGGGTAGGGAGTAGACACAGGATAGTTTGGGTGCTAGAGAGGGGGGCAATACACAAGAAGGGGAAGGGGAATGGAAGAACAAGGTTGATGGGAAAACAATTCGGCAAGTTTGCTTGGGCTAGGCAGGACAGAAGTAAACAATGATGTATGAACAACCTTGGAACAACAGCGATCTGGGATACAGGAATTGAGACATGGTTGATATGGGAAAAACGGGGGAAACAATGTTAAGGTGCTTGGCTGTCTTTTCAATCTTGGTTTCCCCGGCATACCATTATAAAATAGACACTTGAGGAGGAGAGAAAGGAATAGCCAGAAATATCACCGTAGGAAGCTTGTAAGTCCGTCTTTTGCCTATATCTGATTGGAATACCTAAAATGGGGCTACAACATGCCTAGTGAAGGAGGCTTCCCAACGAGCCTCTCACTACATAAGACTATAGATGGAATCCTGAACCACATCCAGAATCTTTTGAGGTGGAAGACAAGCAGACCAATCTGGAGCAACTAGAAGAACAGAAGATACTTCCTGAAAGAAAGATCAATAGGAAAAATAAAAAACAGTAACGGCAGTCCGACTGATTACTACAAGAACAAGCAAGTTGCTCGCCCAGGAGACATCAAAGCAAGTGGTCAGGTCCCCTCAG